ATCGTTCATGGGTTAGGCATTAGAGACAACCACATTCACTTTAAATAGGGCACCACGTAATTCCGATGAGATGACACCGTATGAATTATGGTTTAGAGAAACCTAAGTTGTCGTTTCTTAAAAGTTTGGGGCTGCGACGCTTATATGAAAAAGTTTCAGGTTGATAAGCTCGAACCCAAAGCGGATAAAATGCATCTTCATAGGAAACCCAAAACAGTTGGGTATACCTCCTAATTCAGATCCGAAAGCAATATGGATTGTTTCTAGAATCGGGTCCTTTCTCGAGGAAAAGTTTCTCTCGAAAGAATTGAGTGGGAGGATGGTGGAAACTTGATGAGGTTATTGAACCGTCTCTTCAACTAGTGTGTGGCAGGGCACAGGAAGTTGTTCCTGTGGCACCTACACCAATTGAAGTGGAAGCTTATGATAGTGATCATGAAGCTTCGGATCAAGTCACTACCAAACCTCGTGGGATGACAAGGATGCGTACTACTTCAGAGTGGTACGTAATCCTGTCTTGGAAGTCATGTTGCTGGACAACAATGAACCTACGAGCTATGGAGAAGCGATGGTGGGCCCGAATTCCGATAAATGGCTTGAGGCCATAAAATCCGAGAGAGGATCCATGTATGAAAACAAAGTGTAGACTTTGGCAGAACGGCTCAATGGTCGTAAGGCTAATAAGTACAGATGGATTTCAAAAGGAAGACGGACAATGATGGTAAATGTCACCATTAAGAAAGCTCGACTTGTCGTTAAGATGTTTTTCCGACAAGTTCAAGGAGTTGACTACGATGAGATTTTCTCACTCGTAGCGATGCTAAGAGTCTGTTGGAATTATATTAGCGATTACTGCATTATTTATGAAATCTTGCAGATAGGATGTCAAAACATTGTTTCCTCGACGATTTTATTGAGGAAAGGTTGTATGTGATACAACCGGAAGGTTTTGTCAATCCCGAAAGATGCTAATAAGTATGCAAAGCTCCAGCAATCCTTCTAAGGACTGGAGTGAGCATCTCGGAGTTGGAATGTATGCTTTGATGATGATCAAAGATTTTGGGTTTGTACAAAGTTTATGAGAAACTTGTATTCCCAAAGAAGTGAGTGGGAGCACTATAGAATTTTTGATGAGTATATGTTGTTGACATATTGTTGATCAGAAATGACGTAGAATTTCTGGAAAGCATATAGGGTTATTTTGAAAGTGTTTTTCAATGGAAAGCCTGGATTAAGCTACTTGAACATTGAGCATCAAGATCTATAAGGATAGATCAAAATGCTTAATAATACTTTCAAATGAGCACATACCTTGACATGATCTTGAAGGTGTTCAAGATGGACCAGTCAAAGAAGGAGTTCTTGCCTGAGTTGTAAGGTACGAAGTTAAGACTTAAAGCTCGACCACGGCAGAATAGAGAGAAAGGACGAAGGTCGTCCCCTATGCTTTAGACGTAGGCTCTACAGTATGCTATGCTGTGTACCGCACCGAAAGTGTGCCTTGCCATGAGTCAGTCAAGGGGTACAAGAGTGATCCATGAATGGATCATAGGACAGCGGTCAAAGTTATCCTTAGTAACTAGTGGACTAAGGAATTTTTCTCGATTATGGAGGTGGTAAAAGAGTTCGTCGTAAAGGTTACGATGATGCAAGCTTGACACCTATCCGGATAGCTCTAAGTAGAGAGACCGGATACATATAATGGAGCAATAATTTAGAATAGCTCCAAGTAGAACAGTTATTTGGAATAGGTCCAAATAGAGCGTGGTAGCTGCATCTAGGAGATGACATAGAGATTTGTAAAGCAAACACGGATCTGAAAGGTTCAGACCCGTTGACTAAAACCTCTCTCACAAGCAACATGATCAAACATAAAACTCATTGAGTGTTAATCACATAGTGATGTGAACTAGACTACTGACTCTAGTAAACTCTTGGGTATTAGTCACATGGCGATGTGACCTGTGAGTGTTAATCACATGGCGATGTGAACTAGATTATTGACTCTAGTGCAAGTGGGAGACTATTGGAAATATGCCCTAGAGGCAATAATAAATAAGTTATTATTATATTTCTTTGTTCGTGATAATAGTCTTTTATTCATGCTTTAACTGTATTATCCGGAAATCGTAATACACGTGTGAATACATAGACCACAATATGTCCCTAGTGAGCCTCTAGTTGACTAGCTCGTTGTGATCAACAGATAGTCATGGTTTCCTGGCTATGGACATTGGATGTCGTTGATAACGGGATCACATCATTAGGAGAATGATGTGATGGACAAGACCCAATCCTAAGCATAGCACAAAGATTGTGTAGTTCGTTTGCTAGAGCTTTGCCAATGTCAAGTATCTCTTCCTTTGACCATGAGATCGTGTAACTCCTGGATACCGTAGGAGTGCTTTGGGTGTATCAAACGTCACAACGTAACTGGGTGACTATAAAGGTGCACTACAGGTATCTCCGAAAGTATCTATTGTTTTATGCGGATCGAGACTGGGATTTGTCACTCCGTGTAAACGGAGAGGTATCTCTGGGCCCACTCGATAGGACATCATCATATGCGCAATGTGACCAAGGAGTTGATCACGGGATGATGTGTTACGGAACGAGTAAAGTGACTTGCCGGTAACGAGATTGAACAAGGTATTGGATACCGACGATCGAATCTCGGGCAAGTAACATACCGATAGACAAAGGGAATTGAATACGGGATTGATTAAGTCCTTGACATCGTGGTTCATCTGATGAGATCATCGTGGAACATGTGGGAGCCATCATGGGTATCCAGATCCCGCTGTTGGTTATTGACCGGAGAACGTCTCGGTCATGTCTGCATGTCTCCCGAACCCGTAGGGTCTACACACTTAAGGTTCGATGACGCTAGGGTTATAAAGGAAGCTTGTATGTGGTTACCGAATGTTGTTCGGAGTCCCGGATGAGATCCCGGACGTCACGAGGAGTTCCGGAATGGTCCGAAGGTAAAGATTTATATATAGGAAGTCCTGTTTCGGCCATCGGGACAAGTTTCGGGGTCATCGGTATTGTACCGGGACCACCGGAAGGGTCCCGGGGGCCCACCGGGTGGGGCCACCTGCCCCGGGGGGCCACATGGGCTGTAGGGGGTGCGCCTTGGCCTACATGGGCCAAGGGCACCAGCCCCAAGAGGCCCATGCGCCTAGGGAACCCTAGAGGGAAGAGTCCTCAAGGGGGAAGGCACCGTGCCTTGGGGAGGATGGACTCCTCCCCCCCTCTTGGCCGCACCCCTTTCTTGGAGTAAGGGGCAAGGCTGCGCCTCCCCCCTCTCCCTTGCCCCTATATATAGTGGAGGGGAGGGAGGGCATCCATACCTGAGCCCTTGGCGCCTCCCTCCCTCCCGTGACACCTCCTCCTCTCCCGTAGGTGCTTGGCGAAGCCCTGCAGGATTGCCACGCTCCTCCATCACCACCACGCCGTTGTGCTGCTGCTGGATGGAGTCTTCCTCAACCTCTCCCTCTCTCCTTGCTGGATCAAGGCGTGGGAGACATCGACGAGCTGTACGTGTGTTGAACGCGGAGGTGCCGTCCGTTCGGCACTAGGATCATCGGTGATCTGAATCACGACGAGTACGACTCCATCAACCCCGTTCACTTGAACGCTTCCGCTTAGCGATCTACAAGAGTATGTAGATGCACTCCCTTTTCTACTCGTTGCTGGTCTCTCCATAGATAGATCTTGGTGTTACGTAGGAAAATTTTTGAATTTCTGCTACGTTCCCCAACATTTTTATATTGGTATAGATATAGATATAGATATATCCTTTTTGATTTGACTGGAATCCAATTTCAACTAAGAGCTTTTGTTGATTCGAGTTCTACTTACGAAGAGTTGCCACATTAGTGTGTATTGCTAGGACTTTGATTTTAAGCCTCCTAGAATAATTATCCTATAAATTCTTGATGATCAGGCAACCGCGGTATTAGAAACCTCCTGTCCCATGACTAACACACGGGATACACACCCACACGCACCCATGCGCTATCGTAGTGGGTCGGTCCATTTGCCCGGTTATATTAATTCGGGTACCGGAGTCTGCCTCGACTGGTTTAGAGTATTGTTTTAAAAAAAATTATAAAGGGAGAAATCAACTAAAAATGGCCACACATTAAAAAATATTCACAAATTCATTTTTTTGTGATAAAAAATGTTCACAAACTCAAAAAAATATTTGTGATTTAAAACAGAGTGCAAATAGAAAATTGTTTGCACTTTTTTCACCAATTTGTAGACTGTCCCAGGATTTTAAAAAATCTTCATGAATTTTTAAAATTTTTCCCGTACTTTAAAAAATGTACATGAAGTTTTAAAATGTTTCCGGATTTTAAAAATTGTTCATGAATTTGTAAAATCCAGATTTTTATTTTTTTTAAAAGTGTTACACATTTTTTCTCTAAAAATACCTACAATTTTTTCTAGAAAACCTCATTCCACTTTATTCGATGACAGTGGTCAGAGGAATTGATACAAGATCGTGTGGTACATCAAGCCACACATGTCTACCAAGATCTAGATGTAAACAGAACTTTGCTAAGCTATCAGCTTCAAAGTTTCTACAACTACTCTAAAAAATAAAGCTACAAGGATTGAACTAGGGATTTATGAAAATAACACTTTGGTTTTTGGGTTATCGTGGGCTGATGGGCCGTATTATCCCTGTTCTTCCTTGTCGGCTCTTTTTTTTTTCACAGAGGTCCCTCATCTTTTTTCTTAGAAAACAAGGCCCGTGTCGGCCTGGCCCATATCATCATCATCAACTTGTAAAACAAGCCGAAGACTCTTCCTTTCCGTGCCACTGACATAGGGCCCCACATAGGCTCGCCGCCGGCCGGAAAAAGAGAACGCAAAAAGCTTTTCTTTCTTCTTCCCCACTCCGCGCTGATTCTCGAGCAGTACTCCGCACTCCGCAGGCCTAAACCCCCCCTAAACCCTAGCCACCCCCCTCCGCCCCCGCCCCGCCCATGGACTCCTCGGCGCGATCGGGCGCCACGGCGTCCTCCAACCCCCGCGCCTGGATCGTCGCGGGCGTCGCCGTCGCCGGGGTCATCGTCCTCGCGGAGGTCGCGCGGCGCCGCCGGAGGTGGCTGCGCGGCAACTCCAGCCCGCCCCCGTACTCCGGGGCCTTCTGCGACCGCCTCGAGCTCGCCCCTCCGCCGCAGCCCCCGCCTCCCGCGGCGCGCCAGCAGCTCCCGGACCTCACCTTCGCGGTCAGCGACAAGTGAGCCCCCCAGCTCTGCTTCGATATTCCGCGGGATCGCGGGTTTTCCGCCGTGGTTTTGATCCCCTATTCTCTGTGTCGTGTTTTTCAGCTTCGAGATCGAGGGCTATGTAGCCGGCTTCGGAAACCCGGACTGGAAGAGGACCCACAAGGCAGCGAGCCACACGGCGGCGGCCGTCAAGGCTCTGCTGAAGCAGGGGGCTACCTGCGTCGGGAGGACAGTCATGGATGAACTCGGCTTTGGGTTCGTAATTGAAATTTTCTCTAATCGAATTGATTGCTTAATACAGTACAACTTTAACATTTGGGTGTCCTCATCCTTACAGATCTTTGAATTTGTATAGGATTTTGCACATACATTGATAGGAATATAGCTGTTTTAGAAGATCTGTTGTCTCAGGGTGACTTTTCTGGACAATGTTGAGGTGCTGAAACCAGATTATTTGGTTTTGAAATAAAAACTAAGCACATATCTTTAACTTATAGTAGCAAAGGCAATCCTTTATTTTACACTTGAGGTGTGCTTGTTTAAGTCTATTTGGAAACTTGATGTGCAGTAAATGTGTCTTGAGGAGGAAACGCATAACTTGCTCAAATTGGGTGGGGTATTCTTTAGCTATTGATTGAAGTGTTGCAGTAGGCCTATGATTGCAGTAAAATGGTGCATATCAAGGGTGTTCGTGGTGACAATGTTAACTTCAGCCGATGCAAGATAGATTCTGTTGAGACAGTCAACTCCTGTTTCCATTTGGTTGGTGGCCAACTGATCGTAGCAAAGATAGCAAAGTTACTTTACTGTTGGGGGTCTCGTAATCATAATTCTCAAATCACTGTTTGAGTCATTGTAAATCATGTTTTATTTTATGCTAAGTTTTGCATTCACCTTTAGTATCCCTTGGAACTCCAGTATGCTAAATAACGGCTTCCTCTGTTCACAAATATAAGATGTTTTAGATATTTCAATATGGACTGCATATGGACTGAAATGAGTGGACAAACACACTAAAGCATGTCCATGTACATCCAATTCAGAAAAAAAATTAGAACATCTTATATTTGTGAACGGAAGGAGTAGTTTTTTCTAGCCATTCAATTCAGATGACCGTGCACGTACATAAATCTTTAACAAGATTCTTTTTTCATAGTAATCATTAACAGGCCTTGGGCTTCAACTAAGACTCACTAGATATCTATCTATCGGTGTTCTGCATCAGATAGATGATGAATTCTAACACTGCATCAATTAACATGTTTTTACAGTGTTACTGGAGAAAATTTACACTGTGGAACACCAATTAACCCAGCATCTCCATCAGTTGTCCCTGGAGGGTCATGCAGTGGCTCCGCTGTTGCAGTTTCTGCGCAGCTTGTCGAGTTCGCTCTTGGTATTTTTCTAAAAAGACTTTTACACATCTACAACTTCTGCAATCTACATGTGTTGTAACTTGGCGTCTATTCTTATTGTACTCAATTGTGGTTATCTAGGTTTCTTCCTTTCTTTCTTTTTTTGATTGTGAATCTACTTCCACTGGAAATTGCATCTCGTTTGTATATGAGTATATGACTAACAATTTTATGCATCTGTCATATTATCAAGTCATATAAATATAGCATGATCAGAATTATAGCTCCAGTCACTAACCTTGTAGTTAGCATGGTTGTGTTTACTGTAAGATCCTTGTGTCCTACCCTATAAGATCACATGATGATTGGCTTGGGGGAAAATGACATTAATTATAATATCTGGTTACTGGTTGGGTTACAGGATGAGTTCCTGAATAATTGGCCATCTCCCTGCATTTGTTTTTACCAGAGTGTCCTTGCACTCTTATATCTATGATACTCCCTACCTTTTTTTCCAAGGCACACATGTTCTCCAAAATTTAACTTTGACCAAAGGTCCAACTACTATATAAATATTTGCTACAAAATCTTATGGCTATTCTTTTCATGCCTTGTGATACTTTTATCATGCATGTTTATCTTAGTACGTGTTCAATCACCAATTCACTATACATTTTGTCCTTTTCTCCATGTATAAGTTCTTGATGCAAAATGTGCTTGATTATTATGGCTGTCTCCTAGAGATATTCGTTCATATTCCACATGCAAACTGACGCTGTAAGCCCTGAATCTCTTAGGTACTGATACAACTGGTGATCTGAGAATTCCAGCAGCTTTCTGCGGTGTTCTTTGTTTCCGGCCTTCTCATGGGGTTGTGTCTACTCTTGGGACCTTACCGAATTCACATAGTCTAGACACCATTGGTATTTTCTTACACTTATCAATTGTTTATGTTTTCATGTTTATTACTTACTGTGACAAGCATATCTATGTGACCTATAGCAAAAGTTGCTTATATATGACATAGTACCCACCAAACAAAGAACATGTGAAGGCCTTACGATTAATGCCCCATCTTTACAAAATATCATAGTATGACTATAGATTAGAAGACCAGTCTCCACTCAGAGCTAAGAGACCTTTTATTGAAGTCGAATGGCAGCATGCTTTGTTTTTCTCAATTGGACATCCATGTAGATTGTTTCTTATTTCACTGATTTTCTGATCCTTGTTAGGATGGCTTGCACGAGATCCTCATATACTTAGTCGTGTTGGAGATGCTCTGTTACCGGCTGCTGCATGTGGACTTAGGGGGAAAAGGCAGTTGGTTTTTGCTGATGATTGCTTTGAGTTGCTAAAGATTCCCAACCAGAAAACAGTGGATGTCATAGAAAATGCTGTCCGTACATTACCTTATGGATGTAAGCCATACTGATGTCTATATTTCTTAAATGCGCCGGTGATTAGGTTTATATATTTTGTGCAAACAAGTGAGACATTCAACTCCACATCTTGCAGTTCAGCCACCTAAGCACATCAATATTGGCCAGTATATCTGTTCAAATGTACCTAGCTTGAAGGAGTTCTGCGAACCTTCTACAAAGTTGCAAGAAGGAAAGTCAGCCTTGAAAGCTCTCTGCACTGTTATGCTGTTATTACAGAGGTTTGTTTCAATAATTCTTGGCACCTGGTGAAATCAAATGATGAAACCCAAATTGGTTTTTTTCCTGGAAAAATATACAAAGAAATATACTGAGTCACGACCTTGAAAGCTTAAACATTTGTTATCATAATTTGTATAGTAATGCCAGCATTGGTATATTTCTGTAGCCTAATCGAAGTTTGTTGAATCACTGCATACTAGTATCCTCTCTATGGCCTGAATTAACGAGTAAAGAAGTCCTAAGTTTGAATTCTTTGACATGCCAAATTGCTTGGGTCTTTATGATAGAAGTGCTAGTTTACTGGTTCATCTTGTATTAAATGAGTCCAGCCATCGGTGTTAAGTTGGGGCAGGACCATTAATTCAGGTATTCAGGTAGTTAAATTGTACCTTACACATTCTAGTTAGTTGTGACTAGTGAGATCCTAGTAAGAATAGTGTCCACCAGTTACAGTAGTTTCTGAAGTCATGGCTGCTGGCTTGCTGATTTAGATTTATTGTTGTGGGCCTTAGCCCTGTGATAATTGATTCCATGGGATTAACAGCAAACCTGTTGTTGGTGCTGAGTGGTCTGTCTGCTCCATTTGCACCAGCTATCACTAGTTACTAGTGCACTATTTTCCAGCAATCAGTTAGATTACTACCTCCGTTCCTAAATATAAGTCTTTTTAGAGATTTGAATATAGACTACATAAGATGAATATAGATGTATTTTAGTGTAGATTCACTCATTTTGCTCCGTATGTCCACATTAGAATCTCTAAAAGACTTATATTTAGGAATGGAGGGAGTACCTTGGACTTTTGATGGATACATGCAAAGTATTCAAGGGGTTGATGTAGTACAGATTATTCTTTATTTGCCAGTTGCATCTGAAGATGTAGTTGAACATGAATTGATCACCTCGAAATTTATATGTCAATCAACTACTCAGATATGAATTCAAAGCAAACCATGAGGATTGGGTTAACACTGTGAAACCCAAGCTTGGCCTTGAAGTATCTACTCGTGTACTACAAGCTGTAAACTTCACAGACGACAACATCAAATCCTTGTACATTGTACGAACTGAATGGCGAGCTGCACTGAAGAATCTTCTAAAGGTATTCTGCCACTTGACTCCTTAGTTGCAGCTTGCGATGGTTTGACTACTGTTTTGGCTATTGACTATCCCTCACAGTTGCAACTACATGTACTCAGCTATACCGATTTTATGGGGTCCGTTATAAGCAGCTACACATATAACTTGTAGATCATACTGCAGTAATTAGTGACCATCAGAGTTATTTGTTTGGTACTTGGACAACAACAATCTGTGTTTACTAGACCAACCAGGCACTACTAGTTCCTGGTGGCATTGTTTAAAGAAGAACGACCCAGACACTAGTCACTCTGGGAAATAATTTTTGACCCACAGTAGTCGAACCCTGGTGGTCAGGTTGGCGCTGGTTCACAACAACCTATTCTTACATGGACTGGATTATGTTAAGGAAGGGATAGTGGATCTTTCTATGCATTCCATTACAATCATGCCTTTGTTAGATTGGAAAAAAGGGAAACACTGGAATTTTATGTGATTTAATTTGGTTTTAGCTGTTTCTTTAAGTGACAATTTATTTAATTTATAGCGTGAGGTGCCATTATCACACATTGTGTCACCATAAGCATTCGTGCTAGATTTTAAAGTTTGCCATTGGCTTGAATCAAAGGTTCATGGAGTTTTTCTGCTTACTCTTTCATGTGTTGCCATTTAGGATACTGGAATTTTAGTTCTGCCAACCATGGCTGGACACCCTTTGAAAAGGAACTCTAAACAGAGATTGTCATCCGAATTTGAAGATAAAATGTACGCATTTGTCAGCATTGCTGCACTTTCAGGCTGTTGCCAGGTAGTTTATTTAGCTGCTTTCAGGTAGTTCTTTTCTTTTCCTACGAAATTTACGACCAATTCATGACCCACTTCACTTCTGCAGGCCACTGTTCCCTTGGGAAATCACAATGATCATCCTATATCTATTTCATTTGTAGCAGCTCATGGATCAGACAAGTTCCTTCTTCGTGCTATCTTGGATATGTATTCAGCCGTCCAAGAACAAATAGTTTTGGCATCCAAGTTGGCACTTCCACCAGTAATTGATCGTGATGTTGATACATCAGAGTTGTTGAAAGAAAAGGTATATCTCGTTCACATTTGTAGCAGTGCATGCATCAGACGAATTCATTCATCATGTTACCTTGGGCATGTATTTTCCCATCCAAGAACACATAATTGGGCATCCAGGTTCACACTCATCAGTAACCAATGGCGATTTTGATGCATCGTAGCTGTTTAAAATGTTCATTTTTTATGAATGATATGTTGACATTTTGTTGCTAAGGGCTGTGTTGTTCCTGTTTCTTTATCAGTTTTTCGTTGACAATGACACCTCGCCATTCCTTGTTGGCAATAATCAAGTTTTATGCGGTAGTTCAGGAAAGTTGGGCCAGCCAGTGTAAGATTGTGTTAGTTGTGCCCGTTTCCTATCTGGTCCTACACACTGATTTGTCTACACTGATCTTGGTACTCAGTGAGCACGGATAATTTTTTAATCCTGTATCGAGTGTGAGTCCAAACCCTGAGTAGTATAAATATATAAGGAGATTGTGCATTGACTACCAAGCACTGGAAAATAACAATAAAAAAAGAATAAAAAAAATTCTAGCTTTCGTGTGTTCAATCATGTTCATGGTTTGCGCAATCCACAATTTGGTTTTATGTTTGCTTAACAGGGAAATAATTCCTTCAAAAGAAAACAATGGAGCAAAGCTATTGAATCCTATTCCGGGGCAATCAAATTGAACGACACAAATGCGACATACTATTGCAATAGAGCAGCTGCTTATCTGGAACTTGGCCGGTATGCTTTCAATATCATTACCTTTGAACACGATTCCCTGAAATCAGCACTTTCAAGCTCATGCATTTTGAATCTTATGCAGTTTCAAGCAAGCTGAAGCGGATTGCGACCAGGCCTTACTGTTGGATAAAAAGGTAAGTGGCCTTTTGTTAGTCACTTCAACATGGTTACGAAATATCACTACCGTCTTGTGCTGTTATTTATGGTGACATCAGATATTCACATTTCTTCTCTTTATGCTGCTGTTGCCTCAGAATGTTAAAGCATACCTACGACGAGGTACCGCAAAAGAAAGTGTTTTGAATTACCAAGAAGCTCTGCAAGGTGTGGAAATTTTCTAGCATGCAATTATTTCTTACTAATATATCTGATTGAAACAGTGGGGTTTTTCATGATACTCTTGCTGGTCGCTAAGCAAAGCTGGTAAAGGGTTGAAGCCAGCTTAACTGGCGATTGTAGCCATCTAGGCTTAACATTGAGTTGACTGATTTCACTTTCTTTTCGAGGAAATAGCCAGGAGTAGAGTGATTTTATTTATAGATGTTCTGGTAAAACTAGTTGGCAGCAATAGCATAGCTTATGTTTCTGTAATAGTGGTATTCATTTTTCTCAATCTCATTGGTCTTGCCTTGCGTGTACAGATTTCAGGCATGCTTTAGCTTTGGAGCCGCAGAACAAAACAGCCCTTGCAGCAGAGAAAAGGCTACAGAAACACCTGAGGTGATTCTGTTGGCGGAGCTGGAACCCGCAACTTGTCAAATTTTGGGATCAAACTAGTCTGTAAAGGAAAGAGCCCTTCTGCTCCGTGAGAAGAATTGGTCGCAAAGACACTGAACACTTTGCTTCTGTAGTGTCATTGCTTGCGTTTCATAAAAAAAAATTGGCGTGAAATTCATGAAGATGTTGGCATCTTCTGAGTGCAGCAGAAACAACTGGCGCGCTGAGATACTGTTAGGCCAGTTGCTGTGGCAAGAAACACTCCAAGTTTTTGAGGCTGTAAAACTTTTACTTGGTGCCATCCAATACGGCAACGTGTGATAACGGTTTCTCAACTCCTTGTATGTACCAAGAAATTCTAAAACGACTGGCAATTCAACTCATACCACTCTGCCTCCGTAGAAACGTGACCACAAGCGAAGGATAAGTCACTGAACACCAGACAGATATCCACGGTTCGGCGGTAAAAAACTGCCAGAAAAGAGCCACGAACGACTGAACCACGATCTCCCCCGTGGACAAACGCTCGACGCCAGAACGCCGGTTCACGCCAGTTGGTCGAAGGAAACTGCACCGATGAGTCGCCCGACGGCGACCTCCAGTTTGTCCCCTCCCCCCTCTGCGCGTCCGTCCGTGTGAGCACGCGCGACCTGGGTGTGTGCTGTTCGGGCAGTGGCTTCGATAAGCAAGCAGACGCCTTCGTTTTTTGCACCTCACAGATCACTTTCTTCTGGAGATCGGTCCAATGGAGACGCAGCAGCAGCGCCGGCACCAGCTCCGGACTCCCATGGACCCGCTCGTGTCCCTCGCCGCCAGCTTCCTTTCGGCCTTCTCGCCGTCGTCCAGGGAGCATGGCACCACCACCTCCACGATACTCCTCCTGCCGCTCCCCGTGGCCGCGGCGCGCGCGCTGTCCGTGCTCCGCCGCCTCGCGCTGCTCGCCACGCAGGCCTTCATCTCCCTCTTCTTCGCGTTCCTCTCCGCGCTCTCGCCCCCGCCGCCGCCGCCGCCCCCCTCGCTCGCGCCCTCGCTGCCGCCGCCGCTGCGCGGGGACCGCGCGGGCGCGGGGGCCACCGCCGCCGTGGCGTCCACCTGCGTGGAGCGCGCGCTCGGGCACGTGCTCTGGGTCGCATCCCGGCTCCCCGTCGCCTCCCGCAAGTACGAGCTCGTGCGCGGGCTCGCGGAGCGGCTGCTCGACGAGAACAACGTGGGCGCGCGGGTCGCCGCCGTGACCCGCGCCGCGCTGGCCGGCGCGTTCGAGCGCACGCTGCGGCAGCTGGAGGCGTCGGCGGGCGGCGAGTGGGGCCCGCCCGGGATGGAGCTGGCCGTGCGCGCGGTCAGGTCCGGGGTGCGGTGGTGGAGGCCCACCGTGGCCGCGCTGGAAGGCAACGACGCGTTCGGCGGCCCCGCGGCCGAGAAGCTCGCCGCCGAGCTGCTGTGGCTCGGGCAGAAGATGGCCGAGTGCGGCGCGGCGCGCGAGGCCGCCGTGCAGTTCGGCGCCGCGTCGCGCCTCGGCAGCCGCGCGCTCGTCGCCGAGCCCACGCTGCAGGTCGCGCTGCTCCGGCTGGCTGGTACGTCTACGTACTACGTGCAAACCATCTTCTTCCTTGAGAAATTAAAACTATTATGAGAAGAAGATGCACTCTCACGCACGCGGACGCCATTGGCTGTCGGTGCAGTGTTCCTGTTGAGGCACGCCAACGCGGCGGAGTTCGAGCAGGAGGAGGGCAAGGCGGCCGTGGCGGAGCAGCGGATGGCGATGCTGCGGTCGTGGCTGCCGCTGCTCTGCCGCGGCAGCAACGGGACGGACGCGCCGGTGCTGAGCGGCAGGGAGAGGGCGGAGATGGTGACGGTGCTGGAGGAGCTGATCGAGAAGCTGCGGTGGGAGCAGCAGGAGGAGGCCCTGGCGCTGTGGCTGCACCACTTCGCCGCCTGCCCGGACACCGACTGGCCCAACCTCGAGCGCTGCTACACGCGATGGTACGCCGAGTCGCGCAAGCTCCTCGCCTGACCAGCAGCCAGCACGTACGCCGGAGCACTTTTGCCTGATGCTCAACTGTGTGTGTGTGCCACTCGATCGAGCAACTTACTACGTAGTAGTACCTGTGTATGTAAGTTTAGTTTTAGTACAAAAGAGTGGGAAGTTCACAAGTTATGCTAGTGTAATCTGCAATTTTTTTCTCTCTGGACTCTGTTCATGCAGGCGTGTGCAAATTTGTAACCCTACTATCTTCAGAAAACCCAACAGATTTTTACTCTTCCCTGAGCAGTAAAGTGGAGCAAAAGGACCGAGGAAATCGCGTAATGAGTAACGACGCCGAACAAGTTCATAAAAGTGATGCATGGATACAAAGGAAAAGAACGAGGCCTTTTGCTCATTTGCTGAATCATCAGGAGCAGGAAAAAAACCCAAACTCCTAGTTCCAACATCCGCAACTTTGGGAACATAGGCAATACATATGCAGTTCTAACACGTCAAACCTCTTTCCTCAAGAATATGAATTTGGGCAACAGCTATTCAGGACAAGGTTATAATGGCAACCATACTTGGGTACGTGGGAGCTTATTCTAATGATTAGTTACAATAGCTAGCAAAGCCGGTTACAACAGATTCTTGGTGTTCATATCCTGATCACTCTACCGTACATTTTATATCAGAGAACAAAAAGGTTTACACTTCACCTTAGTTCTTCATGGAGTTCGTCCTTCCAACGGTGCTTGGTTCTCTGATGGATACAGATGCCAATGATTTGGATGCCCCGGCAGTGGCATTCCTCGCCCTTCCTGCAAATTATCTCGCTTTGAACGGTATAACCTATTGATTTTTTGTGGTGGAGCTTCAGCAGGGCCATTCTGCCTGCTGCCCCCAGCTCATGAAGTTTTTTCCAACAAGCAAGAAGGGAAGGGTAAAGCAACTGAGGATGAACTTGAAGAAACCTTACAAGGCACAATGAAATTGTCTGTTCAAGCTCAAAAGGATGATGGGTCATCTATAAGAGAAAACCGACTCAAAATGCCAATATTGAACAAATGAAGAATCTCCCAATTATGAAGAGGGCTAACAAAAAAGCAAATCCAGTCAGTCGAACGAAGATATCCAAGAGAACATTCAAGGGATTTTGTTGATGTCATTGCTATAGGCTACAAAGACATGTCTGCATAACTATCCAAGGAAGCAAGACCAAGTTGTTCTTATTCTAGAAGAAGCAACTGAACTCATCCAGGATTCAATGAGAGAATCTAACAAGATTTCTAGAAATAGTTTTGTCGCAAAGGAATCCTAAAGTTGTGAAATGAGATGAATAGATTGAGAGTATATTGACTCCAAGGAAGTATTTGATACCATTCACGAGAACTACAAAGTGTCTGACTTGATGGCTCTCCAACAAGACTTGAATGAAGAGTTAACTCTATAATTATTTACCACAATGCAGTTTGAAGATGTGTTAGATCCTTCCAGTAGATGTTAAATGGCAAGGTGTACAAGTCAAGTACATGTGAGTTTGCTGAGGTGCAAAAAAAATCACAAAAAAAAAATCAAAACTTTGAGACTGTACATTAGAAGGAAATGTCCAATAAGGAGAAGATGGCACGGTTATATAATGTGAGCTTGTGTTCAAACATAATAAAAATCTTGTAATGACAATTGGACTCCGTGAATGGATCTTTACAGTTAACTACCTCTTGAGAGTCATTTTTGACCCCAAGGTTGGAGATAGCATATCAAGATCCAAGGTTTTTCCAAGCAACTTCTTATGCTTGGCATGGATGTTCCTGTGGCTTCGAGCAGCCTTTGTGGTATGGGCTGATGACCCACAAATATAGGGGATCAATTGTAGCTCTTTTCGATAAGTAAGAATGTCGAAGCCAACGAGGAGCAGAAGGAAATGACAAGTGATTTTCAGCAAGGTAATGTCTGCAAGTGCTGAAATTGTAAGTAACAGAGTAGTTTGATAGCAAGATATTTTGTAACGAGCAAGTAATGATAGTAGTAACAAAAGTGCATCAAGGTAGCTCAATCCTTTTGAGGCAAATGACAGGCCAAAACAGTCTCTTATAATAAGCAAAGCATTCTTGAGGGTACACGGGAATTTCATCTAGTCACTTTCATCATGTTGATTTGATTCATGTTCGCTACTTTGATACTTTGATATGTGAGTGGACCGGTGCTTAGGTGATGTTCTTACTTGAACAAACCTCCTACTTATGATTAACCCCCTCACAAGCATCCGCAACTACGAGAAAAGTATTAAGGATAAATCCTAACCATAGCATTAAACTTTTGGATCCAATCGGTCCCTTACGGAATAGCGCATAAACTAGGGTTTAAGCTTCTGTCACTCTCGCAACCCATCATCTAATAACTACTCCACAATGCATCCCCTTAGACCCAAATATGGTGAAGTGTCATGTAGTCGATGTTCACATGACACCACTAAGGGAATCACAACATACATACCATCAAAATATCGAACACACATCAAGTTCACATGATTACTTGCAACATGATTTCTCCCTTGACCTCAAGAACAAAAGTAACTACTCACAAGTGATAAACATGCTCAAGATCAGAGGGGTATTAAATAGCATAATGGATCTTAACATATAATATTCCACCAAATAAACCATATAGTAATCAACTACAAGATGTAATCAACACTACTAGTCACCCACAAACACCAATCTATAGTTCCGGTAACAAGATTGAACACAAGAGATGAACTAGGGTTTGAGATGAGATGGTGTTGTTGAAGATGTTGATGGAGATTTTCCTCCCCAAGATGGAAGAGTTGTTGGTGATGATGATGACGATGATTTTCCACCTCTGGGAGGGAAGTTCCCCGACGGAATCGCTCCGCCGAAGGGCAAAAGTGCTCCTACCCAAGTTTCGCCTCAAGACGGTGGCGCTCCAAACCAAAAGTCATCCCTTTATTTTTTCTAGGTCAAAATGACTTATATAGGAGAAGATGGGCACCTGAGGTGGGCCTGGGTGAGCACAACCCAGCA